AAGTGTTAACTGTAACCCTACTTTTGGCCCACCCTGTATATATATATGAGGTCTACCCAGTTTCCGTAATTCTCTACGTGCAGCGTTTCATTTTGGAATTTATGCACATGGAAGGTCTGCCTTGTTTATTTAATTTTTGCGTGGAATAATTTGTTTGGTTCGATAGTTCTATTCATGTAAAATCTAACCTGTTTCTTTGCTAGAATTCTTTATATATTTTTGTATAATGTATCAAAAATAAGAGATTTTACTTTTCCTGCTTTAAAAAAACACTCATCTTTCTGAAAAGTTACACTTTTATGACTATTACTCGACGAAGTTAGTTTTATTTTATTTAGAATCATTTCAAGTTAATTGTATACTCCTTACCATACTTCTTACAGTTTATTTATAATTTTATATTTATTTTAAGTGTAAATTTTATGAAATTTTGAAAAGTTCTTACTCTTCGATTCAGTTTTCATTCGTTCCACCTTTTCTCGGCTCTCTCCAAGACATGTTGCCTCCTGTGAAAGTGCTTCTGTTAGTAACAGAAGCGCCACCTGGAGGACTGCTGTTTTCTTCGTTTGTGCTTCCACTGTGGAGACCCATATCTCCTGGTGCATGGGAAGCCCACCCAAGGCCTAATGCAGGGGTTGTTCCATAAGGATAGAAAGATGTTTGGGAAGAAGTGGGAAGTGAGGAAGAAGATGAGGTGGGAAGATTATAGCCTCTGTAGTAGTGGGAGAGGCAGCCTAAGCCTGGATACATAGGAGAAACGTTATGGGGAAGCATTGAGGAGGTCCAGTAAAACGTGGGGCTCGGAGTGACGTCAGAATCTCGAAGAGCATAAGTTATCATTTCAGTCTGAGCTGTAATGGAGAGAAAACGAGATTTCTTGTGGTTTCAGTTAAATCATAATCAAAACACTGTAACAATTGATCCGATTGTCATTATTTTATTTCCTTTATTAACTGTTTTACATTTACAAAGCCTCATGTGCAAATTTAGAGCACGTAGCTGGCTAACTGTAGTTCTTGAAACCAAGTAACAGCCTCAATAACGGAAGACTTAAACAGTCGAGAGCTTAATACTTTAATTGCTGGCACCTCGTAAAGCTCATTTCGTTCTGCAATATAATTAAATAAGATAGAACTCTGATTCAGGCACGCTTTCTTCATTAGCTCAGAACACTTGATCACGTATTGTGAGCTGAAACTTGAATATTTTAAACATCTTGAAAAGCAGAGATTAGAAATTTGAAGCGTGGCGTTCAACATTTCAAAAATACACTTTACAATAAATACATAAAACATATTTCAATTAATGGATATTATACTGATGTCTAAAACTAAAAATATTAACTTGAAGCAAGACATAATCTCGTAACTATCTCTAGATGGTCGTGTACGAGATGAATTGATAATCATGCAACATGAAAAAGAAACCCAGACACATTACACTTAACAAAACAACCAACTTATGGAAAAAAAGGTAATATAGAAAAGGAACACCGTTTCTACACTACACTTAACTAAACACCCAGCTAATGTAGAAAGTAGATAATATAGAAAAGGAACATCGTTTCTACACTACACTTAAATAAACACCCAGCTAATGTAGAAAGTAGATAATATAGAAAAGGAACATCGTTTCTACACTACACTTAACTAAACACCCAGCTAATGTAGAAAGTAGATAATATAGAAAAGGAACATCGTTTCTACACTACATTTAACTAAACACCCAGCTAATGTAGAAAATTGATAATACAGAAAAGAAACACCGTTTCTACACTGCACTTAACTAAACACCCAGCTAATGTAGAAAGTAGATAATATAGAAAAGGAACACCGTTTCTACACTACACTTAACTAAATACCCAGCTAATGTAGAAAATAGATAATATAGAAAAGGAACATCGTTTCTACACTACACTTAACTAAACACCCAGCTAATGTAGAAAATTGATAATACAGAAAAGGAACACCGTTTCTACACTACACTTAACTAAACACCCAGCTAATGTAGAAAGTAGATAATATAGAAAAGGAGCACCGTTTGTACACTACACTTAACTAAACACCCAGCTAATGTAGAAAGTAGATAATATAGAAAAGGAGCACCGTTTGTACACTACACTTAACTAAACACCCAGCTAATGTAGAAAGTAGATAATATAGAAAAGGAG